AGAGGAATTCATTGTCTCATTGCAAGCCAGCTGCTCTCAAACTCACATACCTCCCACTGGTGACTTGATGCTGCTGGTCACAGACACACACTCAGAATCATCCATCAGTTGGTTAGGAGGTGGACTGTAAGTCCTCCAAGAAAAACAGGATTGTCACTTGCATTGTTAGGGCTTCAGGGGCTGAACTGATGCCCTGAGAACTGAATTTGAGCCCTCTTATTTGCAGTGAAAGAACTCTCTGAATTTATTTGTCTTTGAGTTCTATTAAATTCTCAAAGCCCATAGCATATAATCTACATTTCTCAAGCCCCTCCCCTTCAGAAAATAAGCAGAGGGTTTTCTTGTTCTTGAAGATTTGCAAATAAAGTGCTCTACAGTTGATTCAAATCTCATTCTTATTCCTAGAAAAGTTCAGAGTTTTCCATCATTAACATTCGGCCTTTTCCCTGTAAAAGGGGAGGATGCCATAAACCCACTTCCTCTCATGGTGGGAGTTATGGAGAGCTGAAAGAAAGCTGTTTTTTGAGTTTGTCTAAAATTATGTCAATTAACTTGCATGTTAACCAAGAAGAAGGACCAGTTTAAGTCCCTATTTTGTGGTTAGCACAGAGACATACTGCTGAGGCTCCTGAACTGAGGAGCACAGGCCAATTAAAAAAAAAAAAAAAGCAGATAGTTTGCAGGCTAGATAGTATGACCTGAGAGACCTGTTTCCCTTGTTGGGTCTATCTCTTTGACTTCTGTTGGACCCAAAACATAAAACTGTGGTCATTATTCTGTTTTCAAAAACGATCATTATTCCTTTCCTGTACTAGGTACCTAGGTGGGGGAGGCAGAATGATGGTTCCCCATGGATGTCCATGTCTAATCCCAGGCATTGTGGATGTGTTATCTTAACAAGTGGGAATTTAGGTTCCGAATGGAACTAAGGTGGCTAATCAGCTCACTTTAGTATAGAAAGGTTATTCTGAATTTCCCAGGTTGTCCCCATGTAATCACAAGGGTCTTAAAATATGGAAGAAGGAGGAAAAAGAGTTGGAGTAGCATGAGAAAAGACTCAACTGGTCATTGTAGGCTTTGAAGATGGAAGGAGCTATGAGCCAAGGACTGTGGTTGACCTCTAGAAGCTAAAAAAGGCAAGGAAACAGATTGTCCAGAAGGAATACAGCACTGCCAACACCTTTATGTTAATCCAGTTAGATCCAGGTTGGACTTCTGATCTTTGGAATTGTAAGATAATGCATTTGTGTTGTTTTAAGCCACAAATTTTTTGGTGATTTGTTAGAGCAGCAATAGGAATCTAATACATTACAGTATCCATAGGACTCAGTCCCCATGGGTGAAAGAAGCAGAAATTAGATATAATACATGATACAGAGTGAAAACAGGTGTATAATCATACAGAAAGAACTTGGAATCTGGCCAAAGGAAGCCCAAGAAAAAACTATGTCTGCCTCATAAGCTTCCAAGAAACATACGGCAGCATAGGGTGACTGTTAAATTCAGAAGTACACAGTGCCATCTTCATGCTAACAGCAACAGGAGAAATTCTGTTGTTCTAGTGCATCCCAGTCCTTGTGTGATAAGTGCTTTTGCTGGTGGTATCACTTTTATGGTCAGCTCCCTGGGGCCAGGGTCCCTCTGATGTGGTCAAGGTTAGCACCATCATTTCTCCCTACTTACCCTCTGCGGAACAATAGGTGGACTATCCTGGACTGGTTGGGGCCAGACTCACTAAGGCTCCTCTGACACTCAAACTGCATGTCTGCTTTTCCCAGAACATGCAAGCTTCACCACCCAGCTCCCTGTGCTGCACAAATTAAGCAAACTTGGAGGAATGCCCAATGAAAGCACACCTGCCATGCAGATCTCAATTCAGAGCAAAACCCATCTCCACGACCATAAAGCTAGAAGGGCTGGTCTCTGATGTCTTCATTCTCATCACCATTCAAGACATCTGCAACTCCCTAAGTCTAAGGCGCACCCCAGGGTTTCCCTCAATCCTCTTCCTCCAGAGAACCTCCCTAGACTCTAGATGACAACAAAGCCACAGTGCCTCCTAGTGGCCAGTGGACAGAAACAGCACAAACATGCTCTCTTGACAGGACCTGAGGGGGCGGGGTGCTTTGTTTGATGGAGTAAAGGGAATATAAGGTATTATGATATGTTGGTGTTAGAGGATTAATAAATAAAATTGTATGACTATGGCCGAACATGGAAACACGTGAAATTTGCACATTGGAGTCAGACATGTGTAGATAATACTGTCAGTTTTAATATTGGTAAGTAACAGGGCTCAGCTGTGAATCTGAGTGGACTGGCTAGCACTATACTGAATCTGAATTTAACTCATTTTTCTCCCCTCCAAACTACAGGTGGACCCTATAAGAAAAGAAAGTTGCCCAATAATCTCAGTACAGGTTGAGAAAACACCAAAGAATAGGTGTCTTCACTAGGTAGCCAGAGAGAAAACAAGAAGATAGAGACTAAAGTAAGATGAAGAGATTAAATAAAGGAATGTCTTTGCCTTTCCATAGAAAAGATTCAACAAGAAATAAGAAAATTGGAACGGGAGGATTACTTTAGAGAAGTCCCCCAAAATGGGAAATGTGGAATAAAGTGTTTCCCACAAGACTGAGTTTTAGAGGGAAATACAATTAGCTATATATCAATTACTTTTCCCAATTGCAACCACTTACCTTTGGACATACTCATTTAAAAAGCACAAATGTGTCGCAACAGCATTAAATGAATTCCAAGTCTGTTCTTTATTTTCTGACAAAGTCTAAATATTCAATCCCTATTTTATTTTTCATCTAGTCATATGGTCCAATGGAATGTCAGAGGTTATGAGTAAAAGTAAAACAAGTCATAAAAAAATCCAATAATAAAATGACAAAAACAAATAACTCCCTCAATTTGCTTATGAACACATACCCTTTACGTTTTTTTCTTTTATTTTGGTTGAAATTAAATTTGAAATATAAATCTCTATGTCATTTAAGTTATATATAAAAGAAATGACAGACTAAGAATCTGACATTATTTTTTTTTAATTCCAAACAAAATTCTTTTGACCTTAGTCCTGGTAATTACAGTTGAGAACATTCAAACTACCCTTCTTTATTATCTAAATAGTTGGATAAAATAACATCAAAACCTTTAATTCATTAATGTCCTAAAAATATATTGAGGGCTGGTATCTTGGAGAAGGTGTATAGGGAAAGGGCACAGCCATCCCTTTGCCCTTAGAGGCATTGGCCAACCTCAACTCAGTGCTCCTGGAGCTGACTCACAGGACAGTCAAAGGTCAAAGACTAGAATGTACCAAAAGAGGAACACTGACAAACTCAATGTACACGTGATCTAGAGGTAAATGTGTTCTCTGGCTGACCCAGGACACCTCAGGCTTCAAGGGCTAATTGAGGCAGCCCCAGCTTACTTATAATCCCTGAAATGGGCAAAAGCAAGATAAAATTCTCTTTGGAGAAAGATCCATTTATCGTAGACAAAAAAATTACATATAAAAATCCAGTGTCTGGCACGAAGTCAAAGATAATCAGATTAATAAGAAAAAATACAAACACCATGAAAGCACAAACATCATGACCCAGTAGCAGCAGAAAAATAAATCAATGAAAATAACTCCATAGAGACCTCCAATGTGAAAATTATCAGACTCTAAAAAAACTGTTTCCTGTGTTTAAAGAGATCAAAGGTAATCTAGGAAGACGTTATTAGGGGATTAATAATTATGCCGCATGACATACTGGATTGGAAAAGCAACCACAGACAACTTCTGGCAAGGAGACAGTGGATAGTTGTGCTCCACAATGACAGAAGTTTGTCAGACAAGTAAATGAGATGGAGACATGGGCAGAGGAGTTGAGTAGATACACAAAGAGTCAATGGACATATTTCATGACTTGCAGTCTTAGTTGGATAGGGAGGAAGTGAAGCCAGCAGGGGCTGAGTAGCAGTGATAATACCTTCAGGAAAATCTCAGTATGCTGCTTTCCAAATAGTTCCAACCAGATTTGCAGGATGACTTCTAGTCTTAGAGAATCCAGGCAGAAGATAGAGTACAGGGCATGGACCTCAACACAATGAATGTACTGTCAGATGCGATAATGGGATCAAGACCAACTGATCACTTCAGAAGTTTTTACTAAGAAATATTTTAATGCATTAAGGAACTGTTTACATATACTAAGGCAGACAGCTGGAAATCTCCTCAACAACCCTGAACTGCTTGGCTCTGGTCTGGATATACTTTGAGCTGGGCTGGTTCCATGGAAGAGTTAGACTTCTCTGGAGAATTAGTTTTAAGCTAAGATTTGGGACTGGTTGCCAGGATATCCACTTGTGTGTATTCCTTTGAAGTAGGAAGAGGACTGAATAAAATAATTGAAACCATCAGCACCATCAACATCATTATTATCAACAATTCCCACAAAACAGGAAAAAAAATGTTTTTCAAACACATACTATGCATTGAGACCTTGATGCAGAACACTTGCTAAGAAAGGCAGAGAGGATGCTAGAGAGTGAAGGGTATCAATTAAAATCATTCAGATGGTAAAGACAACCACAGAGCGAGAGCCTGTTACTCTCCTAGAATCACCACCTGGGTTATTATTAAAGTTTATTGTACATTGTCCGTGATTGCCTATTTTTATAAGACAACAACCCATCCCTAGCCCTGTGGGCTGAGTCCATGATCCATGTCACTTTCAGTTTTGCAGCCTTAAATCATCACCAAAAAGTGCTTCAAATTCCCAAGTCATCATTATTTTCAAAGCTTTTGAGCTCTGATGTTTCAGGAAATAATTCATGGCCTCCTTTCATATAAATCATAGCTTGTCTCTGCAGACCCACTTCTTCCCCATGTGTGATGAACAAGGTAAAGCCTCTGTTCGGAGCTTCTGTGAGTGGGACTGAGAGAGGAGAATCCTGATGCTTTGTACACATAAAGGAAGTGTCTCTGTGATGCTTTGGCTAAGCTGCTGGCACAGAAATACTCAGCCGAGTCGCCCAGCTCTGCACGCTGCATCTTGAGAGTGGAGTCTGCTCTTTTGGGCCTCTCTGCAGAAAATCGATTCTTAGGCAGCTGTGAATCATCCATTGCATCTTCATTCTCAAAGCGAACCAGAAGCTTTAGGCCCTGTCCTGGGGTCTGCTGGTACCAGCAAAGGGTTTGGTGGCCAGAAATGGGATTGCAACACAAAGCCATGGCCTGATTCTTTTCTATGACCTTATGTCTGGGGGTCTGGGTAACTCCACCTGCTGTGAGTTCTGTGGGGGGAGGAGGGGAAGACAAAGGAAATATAAATGATTGGCATAACCACTGGAAAGATAAAATGCAGGGATCTTAGTGTTCTTAGACTCATCTGCCCCCAGGAGACAGACGGTCACCCAGCAAAGGAGCCTGGTGCCCATGGCAGAGTCAGGACAGGAATGAGAGGTTCACCAGGTCAGGGTTCTTGTGAGCATGAGCAGAGGAGAAGGGGTGTCCTTACAAGGCAGTCCCCACAGTGACATCACTGTCTCTTCAAATGCACAGTCTAAAAAACCAATTGTTATGAACTAACACATGCCTACATGTTTGTTCAACACATTCATAGACTGTGTGTAAGTTCATCCAAGTGTCCTTCACTCATTGCTCCAGTGCTGGAGTGATTCATTGGATTTTCCACTTCATCTCTACATCTCCCATCATCGTCCTCTAACTCTCTGCTGGATGTTTCATTGTGTGAGCAGTGAGGTGGAAAGGATTAGAGGATGGAGAAGGCCCTGGAAGTTGGTATGGAAGAAGAAAACAAGGAAATGTGTGTTTCAAGAGGTGGAAATAGTACAGCCCTGTCCTCAGAGGTATTATGCTGAGTCTCAGAAACCTAGGGCTTACATGCCAAGGTTACCAAGTAAAAACCTGTAGGTGCAGAATTATCAAAACCATCTGTCTTCCTCAGAACTGCTCTGTCATTGAGACAGAAAGGCTGCTGGTCTGAGTCCAGTTTATGTTAGCACCAGATCATAATTCCATGTTGGAAACATTCTTCACACGGAGGTGTCACTACTTGTTCCACCTTTGTGGCCAGAGGTTAAAGGTTCTAAGTGACAATGGCATTAGGGTGAGTAAAGACTGAGTAGCTGGAGGTGGGTCCTATCGAGATACACACAAAATGCTTGAAATCAAGGCATGCCATTTCCAGAGAAGAAATCCTCCAAGTGTTCTCAGGACCCCCCACCTGCTTCCTGGGCAGCACATGCGAAGAAATCCATGAACGGATCTGTGTCAGGGCAGGGATGGGGCAACTTGCTGATCATTGTGGGAAAGGCTAGAGATCTGGGAAATCTGACTCTTGTTAAGGATAGTTTCAGTGTTACCACAGCAACTGAAACAAAACCCAGAAGAGATCTAAAATGATGGACCACAGTAGCATGGGAGAGACCGTGAGGCGGGGTAGCGAGAGCATGGCTTTGGGGCCAGGCAAATAAGAAGTTGAACCCCTGATCTACCATTTGCTGAATGAGGGATGTGGGTGAACTAACTTCTGCTTTCTTGTCTGTACCACAGAAATGATATCCACTGCAGAGGGGAGGGTGAAACAACCATGAAATGTCTGTAAGATCTCCGTACAGTATATGTATATTAGTATCATCAGGTGAGATGCACAGAAGGCCAATTTCTCTGGAGCTTGAAAGATGGAGACCCAGGGAAGTCTCTTTTCCCCCCAGACACATGGGCAGATTGTCAGGAAGTAGGGCCCATTGGGGAGCACACGCTGGCTAAGTGCACGTGACAGAGGGATTCAGAAGAGGCCAAGATGGATGCACAGGTGCTACCCCAGGTGTGTTCAGTCTGGGTACAGGAAGAGGGAAGAAAGGGCCTGGCACATTGTGCACATGGGCACACTCCAGCTCTGCACTCCAGTGCCAAAGTCAAGGAGCCTCTGACAGCCTTTCGGAAACGTATTTCCTTCTAGAAAACAGCCTCCCCTCACTCCCACTTATGATTTTGGATTCCATCTTTTTATTTGCTGTTAAACTAGTATGCCAGGGAGCATCTTTGGTAAGTGGGGCACTTGGTATAAGGGCCGGCCAGACCCGGCTGACCTCGGTGGGAGGGTGTTGCCCAGAGCCAGGCAGGGAAGCAGATACAGACATAGGCTTTCAGATCAGTGTCACTTGATTAGCATAGTGATGGCAGGGGACAGGTGGGATCTTTAGTTGTTGGCAGCCATGGTCTCCTGAATCCAGTCCAAGAAGTTGCAGACCCTGGTGTAGACACCAGGCTTATTCTTCAGGGCACAGCCAATGCCCCAGGAGACAACTCCCTGAAGCTCTCCATTGCAGACCAGGGGGCCACCAGAATCATTCTGGGGAGGAGGAAGGCACAATGCATTTTATAAGGAGGGAGAAAGAGGGGAGCACAGCTTATGGCCTTGGGGATTCAAATCCAGCCTCTAGGCAAGCCATGTGGATGGGCAGGGGTCTTAGCATGGGAAAGGGCAATCACCTGGCAGGAATCCTTGCCACCCTCGAGGAAGCCGGCGCACACCATGTTGTCGGTGATCTGTCCAGGGTAGGCGGCTTCACACTGTTCCTGGGCCAGCAATGGGGCATCCAGACACTGCAGCAGCTCAGGGTGGTTGACTTAGAGGAAGAGGAAGAGATAAAGGAAAGGAGAAATGAGAGTCAGGCCAGGATGGAGGATGGTAATCTGGGGCTGACCCCAAGAACCTAAGCCCCAGCAAGAATAAAGGCGATTCAGTTCCCAGAATGGCCACTGCTGAACCCCTCTCTGGAGGTGAGAATGGCAAGTGCTATGCTTGTCCTATTCTGGGTCAACTCCTCGAGACTCTGCATCTCTCTGGCCTCCAGGACGGAGCCTGAGGGTGGTGGACACTTGACATTATTTGCAGACTGGATGCCCAGGGGGCTGAGCTCAGGCAATGCTCCATTGTGGGAAACATTTGGAGGTCAGAGAGTGAAGAAGTGAGAACCCCACTCACTGCCAGAGCTCAGGGTGTTGCCCCAGCCGGAGACGAGACACTGGGTGCCAGCAGGTGCACAGGAGGTGGGCAGGGAGACGGTGGACACGCGGGAACTGATGACCGCAGGCGAGGACAGCTTGATCAGCATGATGTCATTGTCCGCAGTCCTGCTGTCGAAGTGGGGGTGGGGAATGACCTTGGCGGAGTTGATGAACTGCTCATTCCCCTCCTCGACCTTGATGTTGTGCTCTCCCAGCCTCACCTGGATGCGACTGTTGGGAGAAGAGAACTGAGGACCTTTTCGCACATCCCCACTCTTTCCTGGGATCCTGAGCTCCCTGCTCATGGTGTGTTGGAGGTTAAAGCAAACAGCAGTTAACATGGAAAAGAGACATGGGAAGGCCAATGGACTTTGATAGTAGGCAGGGCTGAATATCAGCACAAGTTTTGCTCCTGCTGTGATTGCAATGGCTCCAGGTGATTTCCCGACCCGATCATCTTTACTTCATTAACCAAACTTTACCTTTGATCTGCCTGTATTCATTGTTAAAGAGCAAATGTGTATTCAAAGTGAATAAAAAGCTGACTAGGCCAAAACTCAGTGTGCCTCTTCATGAAAGAGGTTTCCACCTGCCCCGCCCCCCATGCCTTCTGATTTCATATGTTTTGTATAGTGTATCTATTGTGTCGTCGGCCCTCCTTCAAGTTATTCTGAACCCACTGCGAAGGTCGTGGCTATGGTGGGGCTGTGCCCATGCACAGGGCAGCAGAGGGGTGGGGGAAAGTATAGTTGAGACACCAAGGGCCTTTCTGCTTCAGGTGTAGGTGTTAGTGGAGCTGGGATGGGGTGAAGGGGTCCAACTGCAGTGGCTCTTCAATCTGCTTTTCCAGCTAGATGAGCTTTTCGAATCCCCCAGGCATTGCTCACACTCTGTGACTTTGCTATGTACAGCGGTGACTTTTGCTCCCTTCCTGGTCTGGGAAGCACTATCGTTCTGGTTGATATAATCCAGTGGGTCTCAAAGCGTGGCCCCAGGACCTTGTTAGACATGCAAAGCCTCGGTTCCCACCCCAGACCTACTGAACCAGAACCTCTGGGGGTGGGATCTAGCCACCCATGGTCCAGCAGATCCGCCAGGCAATTCTGACCCACACCCAGTTTTGGGAACCCTTGCTCTAGGCAGTGATTCTCAGCTCTGCTATAGAACAGAATCACCAGAGGCAGAGAGCGTTCAAAACACCAACATTTAGACACCTCTTCCTGAACAGTCTGAATTAATTACCTTGGGACAGGGCCCAGGCTTTTTATTCTTCTTTCTTTTTTTTTGTTTTTGTTTAACATTTCTTAGGTGTTTTTGTGTGCATCCACTGGCAAAGGTTACTTGTATGAAGTCCTTGCCTGTTTCCCAGTTGGGCCTTCTACCCTAAATAGCCTCTTTCTGCTCTCATGACCATAGCTCTGGCTGTTGTATTTTTTTATTTGGGGTGTCAGAGTCTTCTTACATGTGTCTCTCATCACCCACATGCCTAGGCATCAGCTGTCATTGACAACTTCTCCTCTCTATGGTCCTTCTCCCCACCCTCCCCTAGACTGAACCAAGCTCTCCAAAAGCCCCCTCTGTGGATTTTGCCATCAGGGCCCAGCACTTACGGCCTGTAGCAGTGAGCCGCAGACACCACCCACTGGTCATTGATGAGGGATCCACCACATTCATGGAAGCCAGTATTCAGGGACACCTGGTAGGGGACGGAATTCTTCTGGCAGGTGTAGCCCCCGACAATCTTGTCATCGTCATCAGTGGAGAAAGCAACTTGAGTGGAGACAGGAGGGAGAAGCCAATTCAGCAGGATGTTAGAGGGTATAGCCCGAGCACCAGGCTAGGTCATCCTAACTGAGATTCCTTCATAAGCACAGAGATGATGGGCAGCAAGGACGGGCAGTGAGGACACACTGCCATCCCCAGTCAGTGCAATGGATGTGGTTCTCCTGAGTCTCTCCTTGTGTCTGCAGGGCACATAGCTGGGTTCCCTGCAGGGATCCAGTCCAGACCTCTACAGGGGCACCAGGAGAATGAGGACACAATAAACATCCTCATAGTGCCCTCAATGTGATACAGCTCAGAATGTGGTGTTCTCACCCACTGAATGCTTCTCTCTTGCTCAACATCACTCATCTGCTCCCCACGACTATCAGAGCCCTTGAGGATCAGCATGGGCTGGCCAAACAAGGAAAACCTCCTGGCTCAGTCACTCTGACTGCACCAGCTTCTCCCATAGTTCAAATCGGCACAGAGAGGCCAGAGAGAGGAGCACCCACACCCATTGGATGGAACAAAGTTAGGCACTGTTATTGGCTGATAGAATCATGATTCTCAACCTTGGCTCTACACCTGAGGACCATAAAATCACCTGGGAAACTTAAAAATTCAATGCTCAGGCCAC